GCACGTAACATTACCAACTTTGCACGTATCATTACGGACTTTGTTCATAACTTTACCGACTTTGCACGTAACTTTACCAACTTTGCACATAACTTTACCGACTTTGCACGTATCATTACGGACTTTGCACGTAACATTACCAACTTTGCACGTATCATTACGGACTTTGTACATAACTTTACCGACTTTGCACGTATCATTACTGACTTTGCACGTAACATTACCAACTTTGCACGTATCATTACGGACTTTGCACGTAACATTACCAATTTTGCACGTATCATTACGGACTTTGTACATAACTTTACCGACTTTGCACATAACTTTACCGACTTTGCACGTATCATTACTGACTTTGCACGTAACTTTACCGACTTTGCACGTAACTTTACCGACTTTGCACGTAGCATTTCGGACTTTGCACGTAACATTACCAACTTTGCACGTAATTGTACCGACTTTGCAGTGTTCGATCATACAGTAGAAGTTAAGATGTTTAAAGCAGAAGGGTCGTCATCTGCGCACGCGCGGGGAATTAAGTCCCAAGCGACGATAACAACACATGCTAACAACGAAAAGGCTCATTGGTAGACGCTTGTCTGCAAACAATGACACGCTACGGCCATCTGACGCATGTGCAGGTGACGACTACCCCGCTTCAATTTCAAATCAGGTGAAAGGAAGACATGTAGACTGGCACAGTCTGGGCGATTTATTTCATTTTAAATTTAAATTAAATAAAAAAAATAGCGAAATGGAGGTGTTAACGCGAAACCACCCAGACAGAATAACAGGCAATAACGTTATCCAATCAGAGTAATTTGACCTTTAAACTATATCCAGTTAACCTTAGTACCTGAAGACTTCACTTTTCTTCAAGTTTCTCGATCGTCAATTAGAACAAACGAATTAGTATTTATAACGTTCCGTACAAATTATTCTAATGGAGAGAAGTAGCCTGCGTATAGCTTTATCTCGCCTGGGTTACAATGAACCGCGATCTGCACAGATAAGAAAATAATTTCGTTGCTTTTCCGACCGGAGGCGGCAAATAGTTTGCATTTGAAGTTGCTCCGTTCTGTTTAGATGAAAAACAGTTTGGCACTGTCAACAAGTTGACCATTAACGCGACCCATTATGTTTACCTCATTTTGCAGCGCGCACGCCCCCACTCCTTTTCTATATCCATCAGTGATGTCACTGCATATCATGAATACATAATAGCAACAGATTAGCTGCAAATAAGACCAGTCTGTGGTGGTTTCGCGTTCACCCCACTTTTTGCGAAACTATTTTTTTCGATTTTTTTTAAATCACCACAGCTGGGCCAGTATAGAAGACATGATAAACCGACACAGTAGCACGCCCCCAGCCACGATTGCGGGGAGATGAATGACGTATGAAGTAGTATAGAGCACTTTCCCGCAAGTAGCAAAACTGAGGTACACAAATACTTCTGCTTTGTCATGGCGGAAAATACAACCATGTCAGTTTACTGATAGTCGATAGAAAATAATTTTATTTTTGTTACGTCAATTGGTACACCCAGAAGCACAAGCCGTATCTTCGACTTCCGGGAAAGTTGTCCATGTATAACAACGGTATTAGAAAGTAATCTGGACCAGAAATTGTTCATTTGGCTGTGCTCAAGTTTTCAACATCTTAGGACATCATCAAGTCCATCGAATCTCACGTGAAACTGATGTCTCTCCTCTGTAATGCAACAATTCTTGAAAAGTTGTTCGTTATCGAAGCCTTGGTAAGCGACGAACACCGCCCTCTACACCCGGTAGTCTCAAATCTGCATGTATTTTGAGATCTCTGGGATATGTACGTTATTGTTTTTTTGTGGGGGGAGGGGGTATCAATGGTAAATTTGTTATATTTTCGGAGCTTTTTAGAATAGTTTGGTATATACTCCACTTATGCCAATCAGATTTTTGTTAAAAAAGTCGGGTAGAAGTCCTGATAATTTTGTAACAATCAGTTTCATGTCTTACAACTGTCTTTAGACAACTAGTCTAATTTATTACCTGCCTGAGGGCGGTCTAATCCCATACGTACGTCGTAGTTGTCATGACTACGAGGTTTAATTCGGATATTGAACATCAATAATATATATGATATAATCATGACGTTATAACACAACAGCAACGGCAGCGTGGGAATAGCATTCCGGACGTCACAGCGCGTTTTTTCTAAGCAAAATCAGTAAGTTGTAAATAGCGCCACCATCGGTCAAATTGAGTAATGCTAATGTACCGGTGTCATTCGAGCCCAGTGGGCGGACCAAAACGAATCGTTTTAGGAATGGAGGCGTGTACACTAGAATTAGAACTTGTTTCAAGGTGTGAGGTCGCGAGACATAGGCAGCCTTAACATGTTAGGGGAAGAACATTTAAAATCATGAGGGGTGGAAAGCTGGACAGCAATAGAAAAAAAATTGCATGCATGGTGTTGCAGAGAAAAACATGTTGCTACATTCTTGAAAAATAAAAATGCTCGAAAAGGCATTGTTGAAAAAATTGCACTGGTTCAGCCAGCATCCTCTTCCAGCCCCACCCCCCGTGATTTGAAATGTTCGTCCCCTAACATGTTCAGTAGTGTAAAATTTCAGTGATATCCATGTGGTTTTGAAATGGGAGGCTGACAGAGTTAGGATGTGTGCATCGTCCGCCTGCACGGCAGCGTTCCGTTCGGACATTCCTGATAGTGGAGTGCTTCGCTGGAACATTCACCTTGAATATTCAAGATGGGATGTGTGCTAAGATTGGTAAACGTTCAACATTAACAAGGTTAAATCTGTTTTATTTTGAGGACTTTCAGGTATTGTGCACCAGAGCACAGCCAAATCTAATCTGACAACAAGAACAAGCCAGGTGGCCCATGTATTAAAACTCCACACAACCTTCTCTGCCGTCTCTTAGCAATAATTTGTAATTTATGAAACAGTTACCAAAATATCACAGATTATATTGTTTGAATGAAAAATAAATTTTTCACATTGCATGGGAATCAAGTCGCATCTCACTCTAAAAACACAAAAGCAAACAGAAATGTTCGTTCATAAAGCACAATTACACAAATACCGTGCACACACTTGTAATTTTAAACATTTCATTTATTTTATAAGATTTTTCAAAACCTTTCTCTATAGTTTACATCAGGGATACAAAATCCTCATGTACAAAATGAATTCTTCTTCTTCTTCTTCAAAAAAAAAAAATTGATAAACATAAAGTGGTGAATAAACCTCAAGATTTAGGCAGCCATGTTGGATTTAAAAACTGTAGTGACCTTAAGTTCAAAGGTTAAATAATGTATACTGGGGTGACAAATCCAACATGGCCGCCACCAACTACCATTTTCAGCGTTTCCTGTACAAGCTATGCTAAATTTTCAGCACACAATAAATATATTACAGCTAGAAATTTGTTCTAAATTTTAAAAAAATACAAAATTTATTTACAAAAAAATGTCATCTTGTATATAGCACCACCAAGTGGTGTTTTAAAGAAATTTTTCATGCTAAACTTTACTTGTAATAAAATAATATGTGATTGAATACATTAGCATTTCGAGTGGGTCATCCATTTGACCTGGGAAAAGAGCATTTTGTAGAGGTGATAACCCTCTACATATCATATCATATGGTTTGACCCTGAAAATAACATGCCATAAAACAAGATCATAGGAACAACGATTAGGATAAACATTCCAATAAGGATTGTTTAGTTTCTTTTCTTGACTATTTATTGTGTTTATAACAATAAATGGTTGTCATGGCACCCCAATTTGTCAGTATGGAGCAAATATTTTCACACAAAAAATATTGGCTTTATCGTCATGGATATGTTTGTCAGCCATGATAAAAATATGTTAATATTTAAAATTGACCTTTACCCTTTGACCCTGGTACTACCATTACAAAAACAATTTTTCTGAGAAAACACAACTTGTAGGCAATATATACTCTTTTTTTAAATTAAAGCCCTCAAAATGTTGTTTCCCGAACATTTAATTTTCACAAAATACTACCTATATGACCAAAGTAATAAAGTTTATGTAAACCATGAATAAAATAAAAAATTGATTGTGATCAGCTATGTATTGTAATGCAATGAGATAAATGTTGTAAATTTAACCAATCAAGCACATTACAGATGTCACATGATCCAATTTAACCAATCAAGCACATTACAGATGTCACATGATAAAATTTAACCAATCAAGCACATTACAGCTGTCCCATGATTGTCATGTGACTAAACCTTATAAAATAAGTGTTTTCAGCCTCATTAAAAGTTTGAATGTTTTAGTAAAAAAAATATGCCTTTTTTTTTTTTAGCTTTTTGAACCATATAGTTAGATGTTCTAGAGAAATTATTTAAAAATGAAAAAAAAATTGAAAACAGCTGTGCAAAAGGCAGTTCCTATTAGTAACTAATTTCCGGCAGAATTTTTTCTGATTTCTTATAATTTCAAATCTACATTGTGTTTCAAGAATATAAAAATCAAATAGATTACACAACTTTATAAATAGTGATGCAAGTTTAAGTAATATTTACAACTTTTTTGAGAAAATATTATAGATCGGCAGGAAATACAGCAAAGGTGAGAGTTACTAGCAATGTCATTTGACGGCTTGTAAACTTGTAACATTGTTTCCAGTTTTTAATTATGTAAAAATTTGTTGAAATATTCCAAGTAAGCATAGGGTTGACAAGGTGAAAAAAAAATGCATCAATAACACAAAACCACCTAACTACATGAAATTATTTAATAATGAGACCACTTAAGTACATGGTGATAATGTACCCAGGTAGATAAAAACAACATGCCGAAGAGAATTAATTAATCTACAATTTTGTTAATTTTATTAACAATACATTTCATTTGAAAAAAAAAAACTTTTGCAGATTATCACAACTGCATCGTGGAAACCCACCTTGTCCCCCCTATGTAATCATCAATGGAACATCCCAAACACAGGAAACAATGGGTCATAGCAAATTAAGGCATTTCAAAGGTAAATACATCCCTACACATAGACCCCTGAATTTGTCCTGTATGGGGAGTCTTTTGGAAGGTTTTCATCACTGATTCTGATTGGCATAAAATGTAGATTCTCATTGGCACTGGACGTTGACGCGGACGGGGAATGGCTGCTTGTTGACGGTGTAGGCATTCGATCACGCATCATATTTTGGTAGGGTTCGCCGAATCCTCTTAGATCCTGCCAATCAAAAACAATTAAAAAAGTGGAGTTAATCACAGTGGAAAAAAAGTCAACTTATAGCCGAAACATACAGATTACCCTAGATTCTTTGTGAGTTTTCAACATCTTAAAAAGACATCATGTCACTGAATCACACACAGAATTTTCTGATCAATGATTAAAAATAAGCATATCACCAAATCAAAATTCAATCAATCATAATTACAAACTTAACATGATGGGGACAAGCATCAGTAAATTTGTTGTAATTTCCACGGTCGCTAATAACTGACACTTGTAATGGCGAAAACACAGAATAATCAAGGTACTCAAGGTGCCGCTCAATTTTGATTGGCAGATATTGTACAACATTTACGAACACAATGACTGTTTTTTTTTTCATAATGACATTTCTGATTTCTTTGCTAAGGAAGGGGTTACAGCCAAGTTCAAAATTGCGGCAATTTCCTCCTTAAACCATGCATATTAGTTGCGCTCTACTGAATATTAACAGGGAACAGGAAATATTAATAATCTTATCCTGATAGAATTTATGTTTAATAATCAAGATTACATTGTCACTACAAGAAGCCTGATTTACAGAGGAACCAAAGGGACCAATAAATCAGAATGTAGTTCCGAGATTTGTATGTGCTATATTCAGTACAATCAACAGGTGTTTGAAAATATGGATGTGTATCTGACATGGTGATCATTTTTGAATTTGCAGTTTTTTTTTTTAAAATAATTCAGATAATCTAATGCGAGTTTGTTCTCCCAGAAAGTACCAGGATGTGTGACCTTTAGGGGGGGGTCATGAATAAGTACCAGGATGTGTGACTTTTTGGGTTATAAATAAATACCAGGACGTGTGACCTTTAGGGGTCATGAATAAGTACCAGGACGTGTGACCTTTAGGCGGTCATGAATAAGTACCAGGATGTGTGCCCTTTAGGGGTCATGAATAAGTACCAGGATGTGTGACCTTCAGGGGTCATGAATAAGTTCCAGGATGTGTGACCTTTAGGCAGTCATGAATAAGTACCAGGATGTGTGCCCTTTAGGCAGTCATGAATAAGTACCAATATGTGTGACCTTTAGGGGTCATGAATAAGTACCAGGATGTGTGCCCTTTAGGCAGTCATGAATAAGTACCAATATGTGTGACCTTTAGGGGTCATAAATAAGTATCAGGATGTGTGACCTTCAGGGGTCATGAATAAGTACCAGGATGTGTGACCTTTAGGGGTAATGAATATGCCTATATGGTGCGTGATGACAATTTCATGTTTTTCTGCTGAATGCCCAAACATTAGTTAAGTGCTTATAATACATGCACATAATTAGCATATCAATTTCAGTCACATGATGCGAAACAGCCAATCACTGCATGTCAGATCCATGCAAATGAATCATGATTACATGGGTTCAGTTCATGCATTGAAATCTTTAGAAAGTGTTATATTTATATATATATGAATAAAATAAATTATCACTAACTTGATGAGGTAATTGGGGTGAAGCATTCTCATATGGGGGGGTTAGGTTACCATACGATGGTGGTGCCTCGTCGTCGTCAGGCAATTCACGTTGGCCGGGCACTTCACTGTACACATTCTCTGGGAAGCAAAAATCAAGGTGCAAAAAGACAATCAATGCATTGTTAAAATATGTGCAGGGAACATTATTAACGTGTTAGTTTTTAATCGCACCCCTCTAGCACACGAAAGTTAGTATGGCCCAACTGACAGTTATGAGTGGGTGGGTTATACCATTGTTGCAGAAAGGGGAGTCAACAAGTAACTGTACAGACAAATTTATGAATGAGATTTGTGACTATAACAACATAGACATAACAGGGATGATGAAGAACAGAAATACAACAAAAAGTTAAATTTTATGAACAAAATCAAAATAATGGTTCAATTCTTACCTTCTTCGTAATTTGAATTTTTATGTTGTCTGTGTGGCATCATAACTGGCTTGACTTCATATGCAAGGGTGTTTGGTGTAACTGAAACTAAAACCAGTGAAGATACAGTCAAATGTTATAAACAAACAATGTTGAAATAGCGCCCTCTAGTGATGGACATGAGGCCCTCTGGTGGTGGGAACGAAATTATTGATTTACAGCATGACATACCTGTTCTTAGTGGTGGTTCCGGTGGCATAGACCGTGTAAAGTAACTTAGTGATAAACTGGAACAAAAAGAAAATGTATCATTATTATGTTTTCTAATTGACAAATTGGTAGCAAAGTTAACTCATTTCGAGAGAATCAATCTTGTTGGTCCAGCTGTAACTGCTAGAAATTAAATACTAAATCTCACTAACAGCAAAAAAGTGGCATTCTTTCACCTTACTGTCACACTTTTTGTCTGTATGCTTTTCAACATTATATTTTTTCTGTAACATATTTTGCACATTATTCTGTATTTTTTAAGAATACTAGTCTTAATTTTGGACTAAATGAACATAATTTGGTATTATCAAAATTTTTGAAACAAATATGAAAAAAATTATGTTTAATTTTAATTTTGCTAAGGGTTAATATATTCAATATATTTGTAGCCCCAGAATTCCATCTTATATGATGTTATTAGTACTACGCCCTCTATGTCCATTTTATGTACGCAAATAACATTTGAAATAAATGACTGTAGCTACAGATGATGAAGTTTCAAGTTTTGATTGTATTTGGAGATTTGTTTTCATACCAATTTAATTCAGTTCTGTATTATTGTAAGTATTTATCTAGGGGTTCTATAATTGTTTGAAAACATTTTCTTGTATTTTGTGTATGATAAATAAAATAAGAAAAATAAAAAAAATGTCAGCATCGTCCGGGAAGTCTGAGCAGGAATACTTATGCTGAAAACCACTATAATTTCATAAGACAAATTTCCAGGTGTTAGTGAAATTTTGTAGTGAAGATGCCGAGTATTGGAGACCTTCATTACAATGTATGCACTATATTCTTACTGATACCTTTTTTCAGCTTGAAACAAAATAGTAGTTTGTACATTATTTATTACCATATCCTCATCATGCATGCGAGATGGAAAGTTTGAATTATTATCAATTTGGAGAATTTTATAAAAATTACTTATAAAAGTTCCTTGAAGGCAAAAACAAAATATAAGTAAGCACCACTAGAAACAGTAAATTGTAAATAAGTAAGTTTAATAGTTAGTATAGTTTTTCCATCACAATTTGGTTTGCTTATGCAGTTGGGAAGTAATCCCAACTATTTCTTACTCAGGGAAACCTTTTTAACATTAATGCATATGTAAGAGTTACAAAATACTATTACTCCTTAAGTTAGGGATATTATTTAACATTACTGCATAAGTTAGTGATACTAGATACCATTACTGCATAAGTTAGGGATACTCGATACCATTACTGCATAAGTTAGGGATACCAGATACCATTACTGCATAAGCTTTTTTACTAGTTTTTACACATTAATTGTCATTTCCAAGCAGAGTTTTAGATCATTCTAGTGACATTTGCAAAAATGGCTTTAACACTTTAAACAAATTACTATTTTCTGGCAAATTGTGCAAAAAAGTGCAACTTTTAGCATAATTTTTATGTATTTATCTATAATTATTAATTTTGATCCGAATTGTCATAATTTTCCACTGCCAACACAAACTAATCAAAATTTTTGAATAAATGACTTTGGTTTTGGAATTCAAAGGATTAATTTTGACAAATGCCTGAATCTTCCAATTAGACGAAAAACTCTGGTTGGAGAATGAAAACTCATATTTAGAAAAAACAACATTTTCAACCTATTGATGATTTTTCAGTTGTTAGAATAGCAGAAAATGTCTCTTTTTCAAATTTTTTTTATAATTTTGAATTTACTTACTCGTTTTGGTCTATTCGCCGGTCAGCTGCATTTGAACTCACTGAAAAAAATGTGAAATCTAAAACAATGTGAGTATATATTCAAAAATAATTACATTTTTACATTACAATTATTTTCTAAGATTATGTTTTCCCAAAGCTACTTGTCTATTAAAAATGCAAGTCTTGTTATCTCTTTGTTTATTGGCTAGAAGCCACTATAATGTACATTATTGACCAATCACATACAATTTAACAAACCCACCTGCAGATGGTTTTTCTGGTTTCCTGATTGTTCTACTCCTGCAGACTATAACAGTTATGATAATGACCACTATGAGCGCTGCGAGCACAGCGACGGCGACACCGATGGCAACACCAATCTGGGAAGGATCGTCTCTACTGGGACTGCGTGTACCGACCGTTGTAATCACTAAAACACAAACAAATTTTTTCTCAAATTCAGAAAATTGTTGCCAGGGTAACAGACAACATTAAAACACAAACTCAACATTAGACAACATGATCAACAACAATGTTTGAATTGTCAAAATATTTCCGTTTTATGAAAAAAAAAATAACTGCAATTTAAACAATTCTGAAAATCAGTTCTGAAAACTTGCTAAGAAGTAATGTCTCCATAATGAAGGGATGACTACCACAGAACTTCCATTACAGAACAGTTAACAACACTGACAACGACAATGGTATGGACAGATGTCTACAGAGAAGACAAATAATTGAACCTAATACTTACGCGTTCTTTTTTGTATTGCGTAACTTTCAGTTCTTCCCAAGCTGTTCTCACTCACAACTTTAATTTCATATAGTGTATCTGCATAAAGTCCTCGTATTGTTAGCGGTGGGTCAGTCGACTCCAACGACATCAACCAACCGCTATCATCTCCATCGTATTGACCTATCTGTCGATATTTTACATAATACACTGCTTGTTCGCCGCCATTGAAACCTGGCGTCCAGGTAATCATCATCATTGAATCAGACTTGTCGGTAACGTCAATATCCGTGACTGAATCGGGTTTCCCTGGAAACGCGAGAATTGAAATGATGCATTTGGATCTAAAATCTACAAACCTATTGTATGTCTACACTATATGTTTTATCTATTTTAAAATACCGGTACTTTATTTTACCTGGAATTAATTTTGGCTGAAAAAACTTTTTTGGGAGTTTGTAGAAAGATTATTTTCACTGATTTTTCATTAGTAAAAAAAGGGAAAATGTGTATATACCAGATATATATATATATATATATATAT